TTTTTTTTTTTTTTTTTTTTTTTTTTTTTTTTTTTTTTTTGTTAAGTTTAAAGGCATTTTTTAAATTTTTTTTAAAAAAAAAATTAAGAATATTAATGAAGAAAATTCAAAATTATTTTTCGAATAATTTTTAAAAATATTCTTAAAATAAAATTTTAACTATATGTTAAAATATATCATTAAAACTTTTAAAATGAAAAATTATTTAATGATATTTTTATTAATTTAGTTGAATATGCTAACTTTTTGCACTTGTACACTAGAATGAAAAGTTTAAAAAGCTTCCCATAAAGTCCAAGGTCTAATGAGCTAGACGTATATCTATTCATTGAAGTTGGCACAACGAATAGGAGACGATTTCATAAAGATTCGGTAAGATGTTATACAGCCGAGTTCTATGAGGTCGACCAAATGCTATTTTGGATGAGCCCTTAAGCTAATATGTCAAATCATAACCGAGGTCAATTGTGAGATCACACATTAGTTGGAGATGGGAACGAAACATTTTTTATAAGGGTGTAAAAACCTCTCCCTAACCGTCGGTTTTAAAAACGAGATCAAGCCCAAAAGAAAAAACTTAAAGAGGACAATATCTACTAATAGTGAGATTTAACTGTTACATCAACCAAAGACATTTTGATATGTAGAGCCTTAGACCATATGACCAACTAAGACCATTTGGGACAATAAGGGTGTGATTATTTAGAGCGTAAATGGTGCGACTGTATCATTTAATCCATAATGATTCAAGAATAATCACGATAAGATACTTAAAGAGATTATTGACGCGTTCATCATTCGTTTAAGAAACAAGATTTTTTTTATAAGCGTGGAATACAATAAATTAAAAAGTACATTCAAACACGATACTATTTATGTAATACTCTAAGGTTAAGGTGACTCAAGAAAGTTTAAAACGTCCCTAAATGAAAAGATTAAGAGACCCAAGTAAAGACAAGGAGCCGAAGTAAATAATTTCAATATCATATAGAGAATGAATTTCAAGATACTCCAAAAGTGAAAAATAACTAAAATACTACTCGGGTTGCCAAGATATGGTTGTCCGACTCCCAGAGTCAAAAATGAAATTAGGGTGCAAAATCGGTATAAAAGAACTAGAACACCGTTTGCAAATGGCATTCATGAGGCAATAAAATAAGACAAAATAAAAATATTTTAAAGGGGCAGACCACTCGCGTGCACATGGTTTAGATGGGAGACATCGTGTAACGGCCACATGGTTTAGATGGGAGAAGATCGTGTAACAGCTCAAGCTCACCACTAGCAGATATTGTTTGCTTTAGCTCGTTACGTATGGTCGTCAACCTCACGGTTTTAAAATGTGTCTACTAAGGAGAGGTTTTCACACCCTCCCAACCACTTTGAATAGCTTCTATGCCTATCACGAACATCAAATCATCACGTGGCTAATAAAGCAAGCTAAGCTTCTCACGGCGGCCAAAAGGCTCTCTCATGGCTGAAGGATCCGCAACACGATGGAGAGCTTTTAGACCCTTACATTATCAATGAGTTTCAAAGTGATTCTCATTCTCACCACTGCCTTCTTAAGCCAAAAGAAAGTCGAGCAAGAATCTCGATAGTATGAAGTGAAAGCAAAATCGTATCTGGTTGTTCGAATCGATGACAGATTATTGGCCCCATTGTTTGGCTTCCACTACTATTAGCCTTTCTTATTCTCCATGATATATGTAATAACTTGGGCACCCGTTTCAAATGCATATCCCATTTTTGCATAGTAGGGTTATGAAAATCCACGAGAAGCAACCGGCCGTATTGTCTGCACCAACTGCCATTTAGCTAATAAGCCTGTGGATATCGAGATTCCACAAGCGGTACTTCTTGATACTGTATTTGAAGCAGTTGTTCGAATTCCTTATGATATGCAACTGAAACAAGTTCTTGCGAATGGGAAAAGGGGCAGTTTGAATGTGGGGATTGTTCTTATTTTACCCGAAGGGTTTGAATTAGCCCCCCCCCCCCCTATTTCTCCCGAGATTAAAGAAAAGATGGGCAATCTGTCTTTTCAGAGCTATCGTCCCACTAAAAAAAATATTCTTGTGATAGGGCCCGTTCCTGGTCAGAAATATAGTGAAATCACCTTTCCTATTCTTTCCCCGGACCCTGCGACTAAGAAAGATGTTCACTTCTTAAAATATCCCATATACGTAGGCGGGAACAGGGGAAGGGGTCANTTGAATTAGCCCCCCCCCCCGATCGTATTTCTCCTGAGATTAAAGAAAAGATGGGCAATCTGTCTTAAAGTGAAATCACCTTTTCTATTCTTTCCCCCGACTCTGCGACTAAGAAAGATGTTCACTTCTTAAAATATCCCATATACATATGCGGGAACAGGGGAAGGGGTCAAATTTATCCCGACGGGAGTAAGAGTAATAATAATGTTTATAATGAGAAACTCACGTAAACTTTTTCTTATAGGTACCCGTTCACGAAGGCATTTGAAACATCTAATTGGAACCGAGGCAAATCTCGTTTGTACCGAGCTAAAGTAAAATGTCCATTTATGGCCACAAATTTAAAATAGAAAGTAAATTATTACTCGTTAAATTACAAACATTACATTTTAACTTCAACAAACGTGGACTCAAATATTTTTAAACGAACAAACAGAAAAATAAATTTAAATAAAAAAAAAAAGTGTATTTAATGCCCCTCGAATATGGTAACGACTTTCACGTTCATTGGAAACAGCAGCACCGCGGTTTTGCTTTACCGTCTTCAATGGCGGAATCATCCTCTTCCACCTTCTTCTTCTTCTTCTCCGCAACTTCCTTGAAGAACTTCGTCAGAAATTGCTCGTACTCCGGCAGTACTGCAAATCCTGGTAAGTAATTTATGTCTATCACATAGTATGTACCATTCCCGTCCCTAATCATGTCGAAATTGAACAGCCTAATCCCCATCGCTTCCTTCAGCCCATTCGATACCTCCCTAACTATCTTCTCCGGCGGCATTTCGATCTCTTCTTCCTTCTCCGCCGCCGCCTTCTTCTCAGCGCCGTCACATTTTTCGCTCTTCTCCTCTGCCCTAGATATTTGCGAAAATTTCATCGCGCCGTCTGGTTTCTTCTCTAGTTCCTCCTCTGTCTCTGTCACATCCGGCAGCGATTTCCGTTTCACGCACACGGATTCCTCTCCAGCGACGTATACTTTGAACATTACTCCGCCGTGGTTCACAAACTCCTGTAGAAGCACGGGCGTTTCCAAATCCTTTAATCCACGTCGATTGAAAACCAGAGACATTTCATGCGATTTCGCACTTCCATCCGACGCCAACGGTTTCGCAATCACTGGAAATTTCACATCCAAATCCCTAATGGAATCGATTTCTCCATCCTCCTGTTTCAGAACGATCTGTTTCGGCACCTCGATCCTCACGCCGCTGTCCGAAACCTTCACTTGGCTCACCACATCAAGCATGGAGACTCTGTCGTAGAGTTGAGCGATTAGGTCCGGACGATCCACGACGACGACGTCCGGATTCTTCGAGGCGAAGTCCTGCAGATGCTCCGCCCAAGCATCGTCATAGAGTTTGTGAATAATGCAATGAAATGGACCTTGGTGGAGGAGCGGCGTTTGGATGTCGATACGGACCAGGTCGACACCATGGAGCTTGGCGTAATCAACGAGAGAAGGGCGAATCACATTGCGCTCTTTATTAGGAGGAAAAGCGTAGCCTACTCGAAGGCGATTCGACGAAGAAGAAGAAGAAGAAGCCATGGCTTCTGGTGCAGAGTTCTGTTTGGAATCCGAGAAAGTGAAAAACTCCGATGAGAAAATGAAAAACTCCGGTGAGAAAATGATCTGAGTTCGTGTGTAATTTATACAACTTTGGGGATGCAGTCGGAAAATATTATAAAATTGAGGGATCAGATTCTCATAATATTAATATAAGGTTTATTTATTATTAAAATTATTTTTACACTAAAAAAAAGGAAGAAATAAATAAAATAAAAGTCAATAAATTCGAAATGGAAATCAAAAGTGGGGGGCTTCATCTAATTCTATTGGACTGAATGATCTTTTCGACGCCATCGACAACCAGAATCTTGAAACTCTTGGAGTATCGAACAATAGCTCTCATCCCCACGTGATCATGAATCTGTGTTACATTGAGTTTAAAACAAGATACCAATAAAACGAAACATCAATAATCGATTAGATGCAGTCATTTATACTCTATGGACTAGTACACAAAATGGGGTCGTTCCACGTGAATCAACCATCAACCTCTTTGCTCGTGAATACTCCAAATACTGAAGATGCTATCAATCACGAACACAACTTAATATCAAAAGGGTACAACACCCTCATGAAAAAAAATCAAAATAATTGTATAATAAAAACTGAAAAATGAAAGCTTACTTTTAGCTAAAAACATATACCTTAGGTCGTTGAACTACATTAATCAGATATCGACTATTATGTAATGTTATTGAAAGGACCAATAGAATTTCAATTATTTTGACCATTTAACCCTAAAATATTCCCTTTTGTGTGAAACTATGAACACAATCAATTCCATTTATATATCAAAATTCTATTTTTTTTATTCTCTTAAAAAATATATATTTCATTATAATTTTCAATTTTAATTACGATAAATTGAATTATAATTATTATATTTATTACTCTCTTTTTATGTCATTTAAAATTTGAGTAGAATTTTTAATTTTTTATAAATATAAAATGTTAAGTGGTAAAACATATATATAAAATTGTATTATAAGAAAAATGTATAATTTTAAATAAACAAGGTTCGACCCAATCTAATTTTAGGAGAATTTATGAACCAATTCAACCGACAAAGTTTTCATTTGATTTGAATCGAACCCAATTTAAATCAATTCATAACCTAACTTTAATCATAAGGATACCAAGTTCACACCTAAATTATTTTACTCTACAAAATAAATGGAAAGTTAAAGTAAATATTCGGGGAGAATTTAAAATGGTAGCCAGCAATTAAAGACTTTTAATTATTTGCCAATTTATTTCTTTTTTATATATTTTTTAAACTTTTATTTCCTTTATCTTTTGCTTTGGTATAAAATAAGAACAAAAATTAATTATTATACAATTTTTTTTTTTTTTTCTCAAAGAACCAATCTTTAACATGCACAACCACAAAAGAACAAGAGAAAATAAACACTAACAAATAAATAATTGGTTGAGTGGTTTAAACAAAGATCATTTGGTGGATTTGGAATAAAGCAAGAGAGATTGATTCTATGTTTTTTTAATATAAAGTTGTTATTTTTTTTTTTGTAAAAATATTACGACTTTATTGTACACATGAATAAAAGGTTACTTGGTTCATTATTCTTAATATAAGGTCTCAATTATGTTTAAATTTGTAATTTATAATTGATATTATACCATCAAAATTAATTTTTATAATTTTCAAATCACTCTAAAACAGGTCATAAATCTTAGAATAAGTTTTCTATAAAAGTACGTGCGTATGTGTGTGTATATATTATAAGAGGTCGGGAAAAATTAGGATTTTGTATTATAAAAAAATTTAAAGATCAAGTTAGGATCTAAATTAGAAGAATTTTATTTTATGAAAATGTTTTTTAATAAAGCATCAAAATTTGAAATTATATTAAAAATTATAAATATTATATTTTGTGAATATTTTAATATTTATGAAAAAAAATCAGCTATTATCAAAATAAAAATGAATGGGACTTATCCTGAATTTGAGAATTATTCTTTTTTTTTCTTCTAAATTCCAATTTTCATTCCCTATTTTACGCGTTTTATTGATACTTTTTCCGTTAGTTGTTTTATATTATAATCTTTTCTTTATTATTTTTCTTTCAACAAAAATAAAACATGCTATTTTATCCTTTTATTACGTGTAACTCATTTTTCATAAGATTGAAATTTTCTATTTATTGAAATAATTTATTTTTACTGTATTAACACATACCAATAAAATTTCAAATAATTTTATTTTTCTAAATTTTCCCATACCACGAGCAAATATTATCCTCTTTGAAATTTTCCTTTCGAGTTTTGCCTCCGAATATCTCACATTTCCAATCTTATTTTTCTGTGTTACAAGGAAAAATAATTTTTGTACAACACCAATAACTAATAAATATGATATTTTCAACTTATTAAAGTAATAATGAAAATCAAAGCCCAGATATCAACTTATAAAAAAATATTAAAGTTACAACCAATAGTTATCAATTCAAAACCAAGAACCCTAAGATTAAATTTCATGACGATTTGAAGGCAAAATAAGATTTTGATTCTCTTTTTCCTTCTCGGGTAGGGGCTAACCATAGGGCTATGGTTATATGCATAACTTAACAGCTCCATGAAGCATACTCACAAATTTACAGTCTCTGAAGAACATGCCCAAAAAACAGTATATATATATATGCAACAACTTCCAGAATTGGAAAATATCATTAAGACGTATGAAAAAATAACTAAATAACTCAGGTTTCAATCATTACTAATGCTTGTGATGGTTTGTTCATAAGCTTAACACTAAATAATGAGCAAATTTTTGTTACCAAAATTGAAGCCCAAGCTGTATGGCCGCCACCATGGTGAAGACAAGGCTTGGGAGAGCGGGATGATGTTGTGGTTTGTTTGTGAATTCGTCATTTCTTTGATACAGATTCGGCTTCTCACAACTTCTTCCCGCTACTCAGTGTGTGGGCCAAACTAATGCAAGGAGAGAAACCGAGCGGATACCACCTCTTGTTTGAGGAAACTAATGGCTATGAACTACGACCAACCTGACTTGTTTTACACTGCCAACGGTACTGCTGCAACTTCAGTGTAGGCCACACCCTTAGCTTTCTTTTTTGCGCTACTTTTCGACTTTTTAGATTTCCGTTTCTTGGAGAGAGCCTTATCTTCTGGCTCGTCATGAGTCTCGTTCTGCTCATCGGTATATTCGTTTGGAAGTACTACATCTGCTGTTCTAGTCTTCATATCAGTGTCAACCAGGGGCTCGTCGCTAGAGATTTTGGTATCAGTCTCTGGTTGAATCACTGACATTCCAGTCAGTGTGTAGTCCAACAAAAATGAGCTTCTTACAAGCCTGTCTATCCTGCTGAAATGCCTCTGGGAGTACGGGATTAAACCTTCAAGGAGTTCCCCAATACCTTTGATCTGAAATAATAATAGATATAAGTATTCTAGGAACATCTACATTCAAATACAAACTACAAGATCCTGAATGATAGATGACCAATTTCAAGCACCAAAAGTCAGCTAATTAAAACACAAACGGGAAAAATAATCAAGATGTAGTTAAATCTTCTTAGTCCATTATGCGTGCATGCTCGTATACAGAGAGAGCGAGCTTAAAGAAAATGGCCTGGCATAATGCATACTGGAACAACGCATTCCCGTGAACTCATTTTTGCTTTTGATGGAAATTTCTTATGCTTCCTGACCATACATTTTCGTTCCTTTGATTAAAGTTTCTAATCCAAGAGAGAAGGGTCCCATTTAAAACTACTTCCTAACACACTTATAATTCTGAACTCTTGTAACTGAACTCGATTGTATTCCATAACGAATGCAACTACAATGGCCATCTACCAACACGTTTTTTGTTCATTTCCAAGCTATTTTCAAAAGAAACATTCTGAATACTAGCCAAACTATGGGTCTAGGAAAGGAAATCAAAAAACTAATTTTAGTTTTTAGTTTTTAGATTTCATAGGCTTCATACTAAAAGGAAAGTCATTTGCCAGATAGGATACATTAAAATATCTATCTTAGATGTCTTCCATGTTAAACTTGAAAAGACAGTAGAAAACACACCTCAGTGATCTCTGTTGGGGGAAGGATGCTGAAAGCTCTGAAAAGCACAAATTGTGCAACATGGCAAAGTTTAGGCTTCGTATTCCATTCTCTAAGATATTCAAACAATAGACGGAAGTCTTCCTTTCCAAGAGCACCGAGGGTCTTTCCAACATGATTATCATAGTCGTTCTTGCTGTGGAAAGAACAAAACTAAGTACATACCAATGAGGTAAACGCATAAAACAAAATGTAAAATACTGCTAACCTGCAAAGTTCAGAAAACAGTTCAAAGAGCCTATGTGGCCTACGAAGATCAAAGGCAATTTGAATCGCTTTCGCATAGTCAGCATCAGAAACAGCATTTTCCAGTTCCTGGCCTTTCAAAACACCTTCTTCCTGCATTATCAATGTATGCATACAAAGGCTTAAGATAAGAAGCTTAGGATTCTTTCAAGCTCTTAATTTAATGTGCAAGCCCAAGACTTATCTGTCATTAGTTCAACGGACAAAGGATTTAACAAGAACACTTGTGCTTCGGCTTTTAATTCATTATCTACAAATTATAATAAAAACAATTTTAAAAAACTTTTGGAAACCATAATCAGACTTTTTCCTTAATCCAAAAAGCTAATAATGTGGCTATAATTATCTCAAGTTTGGATGGTTTTCTGTAAACTCCAACGGAGAATTACAGATTTTTGTATCTGACCTTCTCAATAAATCAATGAATGTCAGCTTTCCATAATAGGCCAATATATTAAAAGTAACCATTCACCATGAATGGATGTGATAATCGACCCAACCTTCACCCACTTGAGCGGGACATAACTCTCTTAGATGGTCCCAATAGCTCAATAGTCACCTTCCTAGGTGCAATAAATCACAGATTTGGAAAATTAATAAAGCCTCTCACAGCATAATGCCAAAGGCTCACGGCCACTATCACTCAACGATATGTCCACATGCTCAAAGTTCTCTCGGAATGTCAGCTACTTCTAACCTCCTTTCAAACCTCAAGCACTCTACCCACAGATCAGGGATAACCAATTTAACCATGATAAATCCTCTAGATGTTAGAACCCACAGATCAAATTCAATTCGAACAAGAAAAGAAAATTATTTCTCAATTTTGAGGTTCCATAGATTAAAAATAACAATTTAAAAAAAATTTATAGAGCACCATAGACTTGCAAAAAGGTTCCATTTGTCAAAAGATTAAACCATCTTAAATCTTTAATTTCTAATAATTTAGCATCCATTAAAGATCCTAAACAAAAATGCAGAACTGAATAGATAATAAGATATCCATCTAACCTCTTTTCGAAAAGCTTCCTCTTTATCAAGTGCTGTTGAATCATACCAGAGATTGACAGCAGCATCGCTACCACCTGTAGCAAGCATTTCTGTCTTCTTTCCCACAGCTAATGCCCATATCTGCACACTAAAATGTCGTCAGTAACAAGTTTCTTCATCTTATTTGCTTTAGATAAGTGACAATTAAATTGAAACTACATTATTTTCATTCATTGGCAGGAAACAGAGAGATAAAGGTTGCAATCTTAAACATAAACCTTAAAAAGTACTCCTCCAATAAGTTCTTGCGTCAATATCATTTTTAAAAAAGGTCCACTTTTGCGTTTAATTGATAAAAAACATGGGTATGATATGAAATTGATAAAATTTAAAAGAAAAATAGGATTAGGGCTAAAAAGTTTATTTGTTGAAATTTATTAATTTTGGCAAAGTTATTAAATGGTTAATTTGTGCAAAACTTTATTTTACTGAACTTAATGAGTTAATGAGATTTTTAAACCTTTTTTTTTTTTTTTTTTGGTTAAAATTGGTGGGTAAGTTAGCAAAAATTGAACTAGGTTTTAAGGTTATAGTCAATTGCTCGCCTTGTCTTCATGCTGATCATAGACGGCAATCCGCTCTTCTGTTTTTACTGTCCATAGCATAACTGATCCATCAGCACCTGCAAAAGACGATTACTTTGTTGTGTCAAATCTAACTTAGTACACTTGTGATAACTGCCAAACTCAATAGTGGTGGGAATCAATACCGCAAGATACAAGTTGGGTGCCACGAGTAAGAAAAGAAGCCCTCAACACGCTTGACATATGACCTTCAAAAGTTTTCAAGCAGGAACCATCTGATATTGCCCATATCTTAATCGTTTTATCACCCGAAGCAGTGACCACACATTGATCAACGGGAGAAAACTCTACAGACCAAATCCCCCTTTTATGTCCTCTAAGCACAACTACAGATACCAGATCAGGAAGCCTCCAAACACAAGCCGTTCGGTCCTACCAATGAAAAATTAAAAGATGCATAACGAACTAAGGCAGAATTCTTCAGCAGAAAGTGACAAGAAATCAACATAAATTGACAAAATGAAATTTAGAACACAAGCTCTCATGGAAAAGTTGAAAGAGCCTATATTTTTGACAGTCAAGAGCCAACTAAGTTGTCCATTGTGCACCTAGCTTACTAAACACTCAAGTACACAAAATGAAGGCTTTTCCAAAATCCCTCAAGAAGGCTCTGAAATTAACTTAGTAATCAAACCACCAAAAGAAGCTCAAATCCACTACTAGAAGGACAAGTTGAAGGTCAGAATTGAATTTTAAATGGCCCTTTTTCGATTATAATTCCGTTTGATTGTGCTAGTGTAATATTAAGTATTGCTTTAATTCTTCACTGACAGAAAAATCAGTTTCCTTCGAATTAACAATGCTCATCATCTTGTCTAAAAGATTTTAATAAGGAATAGATAATTATTAATAGACAAAATAAATTCTGTGAACGAAAACGAATCAATCTAAATTCTAAAATAGAGACCATACAGTTTAGTAATATAAGATTTTGTTTTCACATATGGGGGTAGAAATTAAATACCTCATCTTTGGGTTGAGGATAAATGTTTTATATGTGCTCGAGTTGGCATAATATATTAAAACCATCAAGACCAAGAAAAAGCACTCATGTCATTGAATTACAAGAATCCAGTCTAATCCAACTAAAACTTTTTATTTATGAGGAAATCAATAATAATAAGAGAATAAAACATCAGTAATCACTTTTTCATTGTGAAGTCTTCTTTTTTTAATGGGAAAACACATTTTATTGGTTGGAAAATACGAGAGGAGAAAAACCACCCCCACGTACAAAAGATGGCTCAAGTTTAATTAAAAGGAGAATTTAGTTGCAAAACAATGTTGATGATGTGCCCCAACTAGAAGCCAAATATTTAGCACTCTCAAAGCTGTTCAAAATCTCTAGCGGAGTGTTAATAATTCTGAACTCTCTCATCACTCTCCACTCTGAGTTGAAATCAAGAATGCTTATTTCAGGAAGGGTCAAGTATTGCGATATAAGACTGCCGGTGGCAGGACAGAACTTATTTGGAAGTGAGCTGAAATAATAATTACAAATTACTAACCTGAGAACCACTGCAAACTAAACTGTCATTTGGTGCAACTGCTATGGAATTGATATCCTTGTCATGGGCAGCTACAATGGCTTTAGCTTTCAAATTAATAGGTTTGTTTGCATCCTCTGAAAGACCATCAAAACTCCACACCTTAAGAGTACGATCACTAAACAAGACAATGATGTAAATTAATCTGTCAGCAAGTAACCTAAAAACATTTAAACAAAAATTACAATGGGTATATGCATTTTGCGCAAAAAAAAAAGGAAAACAAAAAAAGTGGAAAAAAATTGATGGGCACAAAGTACTGACTAACAAGTTTATTTAGAGAGGAGATTTCATGGAGGGCGATAAATACATCAGATCGAGATCCTGCAAAACCATGACACTGTATCCACGCTGTCCAAAAAATACCCCTAATCCAACTCAACCCAACTTGTGTACAAGCCTAGCCACATTCATGTCCTATTTTAAAAACTAACATGTCACAGTGCCATGTCTTATAGTATCCGTCTACCATGCCTTTTAGCTTCTCATGATAATCCTACAACCTTCTTAGTTTATATGCTAAGAAAATCCTTTTTTAAAAGTCCACACAAGTTCCATGGCCCAGATTTTAGAGACATCAAAGTTTTTCTTATTAAGCTAACCCAAAGATTCAAACACACAACCTCTAGATATCATAGGCCTTACCCAACAAAGCCACCCCTTGGGGGCACAAAAAACCACACGAATTGATCATCATGTCATCCGTTTGAGAAATCTCTCTCCAAATGAACATTATAATTAAAAATTGCTAGTCAATGCCTCCATCTACAGAACACAGTTTAAATGAAAATGAAAGAGGCATCCAATAAAATCCACCTACCTACTGCCACTAACAAAGAAGTCCCGTCTCTTCTTTGAAAAAGCAACAGCTCCAACTGCTCCCATGTGACCTACACCAACACCAATGCATGTTTTGCTTTCTGCTTCCCACAACCTAACCTATACAGAAAAACACATGAGATGGAAGTATACATTTCTTGAAGTTAACCAATCATAAAATAGAAAGTGTTTGACCAACTAATATAATGTGCCAATACATCGTACTCATAGGTCAAATTCAGATTCAGGACTAGTTAATCACAGCAAGAATAAAGAGGAATGAGCATAAAAATGTGTGTGTGTGTGTGTGTCTATATATATATATATATATATATAATAAAAAAAAGTAAGAAAAATCTTACATGAAGAGAAAAGAAAGATAAGCAAGTTCATCTGAAACAGGGAATTGACAACTTACATTGTTGTCTTTACTTCCAGTGACAATAAGTGTAGTTCCCGAGCTTGATACACAGGAGTCAAGACAAAGAACTATATCCGTATGACCAGCCAATATGAATGAGCATGACATGGAAGCAACATCATAAACTCTGATCTGTAAACATCCAGATTTTATTCATTTAACGATCAAGATGTCCATATAGATGTCAATTTAATCGAAGAGAATAAGTAGTCCATCATATCTAAATGCAATGGTAGTGAAAATAGATTATCTATGATGCAGGGCAGCCAGGATAGCTATAGAAACAGTACTGTCATCAAACAGAAATGGGAAAATCTATCACATACAAGCCTAGTTCCGGACATTTGTCCATAAATAAGTCATCAGGTGAGCACCCGTTAAAGATGGCTCACCTAGTTTCCACAAACTGCCATATGGATATTGCTTAGTCAGGCCCCTCCATAACATATTAAAATTTGAGATTCACAGGATCAATTAAGTTAGCAAACGAAAGATCTTAATTAGGAAGGAAGAGTAATTTACATGTTCAACATTGGTAGCAACTGCAAGAAATTGTTCATCATCGCCCAAAAACTTCATGTCCACGATCTCTTCATTATAACCTATCAGCCTTTTGCTTGTAGTCAAACTTATTTCCCCTCCCAAGGTTTTCACTGGAGAATAAAAAATAAACTGCTGATCAGCTGTCACACAAAGCAATCCTCGATCTGAAGGCAACAAGACAGCAGCAGTGAAGCCCATGTTCTGTTCATCCATCTTGGTAGAAACATCTGAGGACTTTTGCTCAAACAAGCAAACTGCACTGAAAATGTAGTTTTTGATGTAAAAACATTCATAATACAGGGGGAAAAGTGTCAAAAAAAATTTACCATCCATATGCATACTAGGCGATATCATGTGGCATGCAAGCAATAGTACAACATTTCAAATGATTGTAAAAACACATACAGAATAAGTTTTATGAAAAAAAAACAACTTAAGAAGTAAACGCACAACTCACTATTATCCTTTTGACTAACATTTATTATATTAAGACATTACACCCCAACCTGTACTCTCTTCTTGTCAATACAAGTGTTTCTTCATACATATGGTAAAATGAAATAACAAACAAACAATCAAAGCGTTGAAGAGCAATTATATGATATTTGAAACTATACCTCTCAGAACTCCATAGACGTACAACCCCACGTTCTCCAACTGTAATAAAGTAGATTTCAGAGGACACGCTAGTTTCCTTTCTTTTTTGACTTGAAGAACCAACACATGAAGCAAAATCTGATCCAGATTTAATAACAAGAACAGCTTCAAGGACTTCATAGGTTAGGACAGTCTTCTTGCAGGAATAATTACGCAGGTTCCACACATTCACAACCTGAAATCATGATGTTATTGCTTGTCAGCTCGTTTCAAGGAATTTTGCAAGACCACAAGCAATATATTAGTATATAACTACCACTTAGTAAGGAAGCATCTCAGGAAAATTCCAAATTAGCAATTCATACATTCGTAACTATTAATTTAACCAGAGCCAGAACAGACAAATACAAAAACTTTGTACTAAACACCTGCTGTAATTATCTAAAACTAAAAACTAGCCATAGCTAGGACTGACGAGTATAAACCTCCTTTTTGTACTCTCATTTTTTAATTTTATGTTGGAAGAGTGTTTGGTCCATCTTACGTGTATCTCAACTAATTTTACAAGGCAACCACCTAACTCTACCATATATAGTTGTTAAGGAATCTCATAGGATATTACATGCTACCATAGTTTGTATCATCTACTTCACTTTTTTCATTGACCTTGATGAGTGTGAGGCCAACTATGGGTGGTGGACTCCTCATTCATCAATGAAAAGTTGATACATTGAAAGTCATGGGCTATCCCTGAAACTCCTATCCACATCCTCTAAATTCTACTGCTTCTATTCATCCAAGTCTACCACTAGGTTGCCAGACAAATTTCTCTGTAAAAGCATTTAGTTTCCTTCAAATAACCCACGAACCCAATGGAATTGCACTAGTAAGATGTCAACTTAAGAAGGTCAATCCCTACGATTATAGATAATTGATTGACCACCAATATAGCAACTCTTGTTCAATAAAAGGTAAGCTAGTAAATGCAAGATCTAATTTACTCCTGCCCATAGGCTGTTCATCATCTGACAGAGATTTATGCTTACATGTCCAAATTTCTAGTCTATGATTTGGCAAATCAAAAATAACAACAATTGTTCAGCCATACAATAGCATATCAACATTTGAATAAATATCTGTTTACACAGCAATAGTAGAAACTTTTCAAGCCAATCAACTTACAATGGATTGTGGCAGCTTCGGTTATACAAAGTAGAATTATAGAGTGCAGGTTGCAAAATCAATAAAATTAAAACAAAAAAGCAACCACACATAATTCAACTTGACGGAGAAAAATAACAAGAAACATATATATGTGGCTGATCAGCACAGTAAATGGTACTTCAAGGGAAGACACAAATTTTGAAATATAATAAAATAATCATTGAAACGGGGAAGGGAAGGATGAGAGAAGAAATAAAGCCTTGCCTTATCTCTTCCAGCACTTAGTAAGGTCCAACCATCTTCAGATATAGCAAATGATGTCACAGTTGACTCGTGACCAAGTGTAGCAATGCATTTCTTAGACATAAGATCCCAAACTCGAACACTCCCATCCTCACTTCCAGAGAAAAGCTAAAATACAAAGGCCAATCTCAGTAATTGTAAAAAGTACAACCAATAAGAAATTGGAAACAGAAGGCATCCTATCAGTCATGTTATTTCTTGATAAGCTGAACTCAAACAATTTGAAGGCAGAACTCGTAAGTGATAATAATTTTAGTGTTTTTATGGCATTTTCAAATATAAAAGGATTATATGAATGAGGACACAAACAAAGAAGGCATAGATCACATAATATCATTTCACAACCATAAAATTAGAAAACGTAATAAGGTAATACTAAATAGGCTGTTGAGTCCTATAGTGAAAAAGAAAACGTCGACCAAAAGTGATAAAATTGAGGAATAAATGTAATAGTTGTTGGAATCAGCTTTGTACACAAGAAGGGAACAACCATGAGATGGCATCTCCTTTAGTATCTGCAACTCTTCTCTAAATAAAAGATAAATTTCATCAAAATCTGTAGCACATAAATCCATTCCTCTAAAATAACGAGATGTCATTTGCTCACCCTTGAAAAGGACTACGGTCCACATAACTTTTCTAATAATTCAATATCTAACCACAATCAACATTCGAGTAAACCATTCCCCTTTCAACCTACTTTGTTCGAGTAGCATCTGTAATAGTCAATGATATGCAGCGAGGATGTTTAAACAATTTCCTTTACAATGCATCAGATTACAGAAAGTCAAAATAGAAGTCTTCTGATTCTGATACTTACCAATTGTTTGTTAGGATCAGGATGAAATAGAATGCTAGAAACGACCCCTTTGTGACCAGTGAAGTAATGAGTACAGAAGCCACCATCGACATCCCAAACAAGGACTTTCCTATCAGCTCCTGCCGTAGCTAACAATCCCCCAGATAAATGGCAATTCATACCCATCACAGGACCATCATGCCCCTATTTGAAGTCAAAGGACAAAACAACGAAACAAACAATGAAGTGGAAAGCGTCAGTCCCTCACTACTACCAATATGTTCATTCAGTTTGATGCCAAAAACATTATTGAAGATAAAAGGAAAAAAATGCAGGATAGACAAACAGCATATTAATTCGATAATTCTCACTTCAAAGAAAAAAAAAAGGAATATGTTTAATTCATAAGGAAGTCAAACATTCCCATAGGTCGAACATCCACTGTCAAGAACCACTTAAAAGTTGTAATCCTAAAATTATAGACTTCCTACTTTCCTCCATACTCAATTCTAGAAAATTGAGGTTCAACCAGGTACATAGAGGTACAATTCCCTTATCATTTACAAGGTATAGCAAAATATAATCTTTAAATTTTGAAAATTTAGGTATACAAATTAGAGAGAATACTTTAAAATATTAACTTTCTATACAGCTTTTTAATTAAACCATCACTCGATACTCAAATAAAAACACTAGATGAACTTCAATCCCTTATTTACCTTCCAAGACCGAACACACTTCATAGTCGAGAGGTCCCATACTCGAATCTGCCTGCTGTGGCCCGCAGAGAACAGAAATTCATCATTCGGACTTAATGCCAGAGCAGTGAACACCTCAGACTCGCCACCTTCCACAGTCGACCGAATGGCCGCAGTGTCTGCATCGACGATCTTTATCGAGTCGCCACAAGCACAGGCGATGAAAGAAGCGTCGGATGATACTACAAAAGCCCCGCCTTCGTAGAACTGTTGAAGGAATGGAACACAACGGTAGTTCTTCTTGAAGGGAGGAGTCGCCATTGGAGGCAGAGCAATACGAGAGAGAACACAGGGTTTTGGAACGGTGAAACGAGCTAGGGTTTAGGGAGAATTATAAACGATTGAATTACTCAAAATTTCAAACTTTATTTATAAATATTTTTATCACGGTACCGTAAAAAGACATTTATATTCACTCGGATATAATATTTCAATATTTTTATTTAATTTAAAGTGTATTTTATTTTATTCTTAATATTTATTTAATTTATATTTTTTTATTGGTAGGTATTAGTTGATAATTTATATCTGTTGGCTTATTGGCCCTTGATCTCACATTAATTAATTTCAATGAATTAATTATTGATGTTTTGATGATAACAAACCTACTTTTAATTATTAACTATTTTCAGTTTTTTGAACTGTCCACAGTATAAGGTCGGGAATAACGATTACAACAACTTTTCAATTACTCAAATCAGAGCTAAAACGAAGAAATTAGAGTCGAGACAACATACCCGACGTGATGATGTGGCAACAAAATCAAAATGATGGACAAATCAAAATATATCAAAGTATGACATTTATAATATTGGAAGAGTAACACATGGTGGAGTTTTTCTTATTATTACATTTCTAAATAAAATTATTTTTACAAATATAAATTTGAATATAACCGTTACTCACATCGAATTTTATTATTACTATATTATATTATTATATTATTATATTTTAAAATTTTGGTAGTTACTCACATCATTTTTATTATTATTATATTATTATATTTATAATAAATTTTGAATTATATTTTACCGTTACTCACATAACTTTTTATTATTATTATATTATATTACTATTATATTAAAATTTTGAAATAAATGAATTTAGAAAATTTTCTTACTTAATTACTTTTAATCTCCACCTTCCATTATTCCTAACACAATCCAATGGTCAATATTCAATCCTACATTTTGCCACTTTTCTCCTCTATATAAACTCATCTTCCCCACATTTTTAAAAGATACAACTTACATACATTCTTCAATCCTCATTTGTTCAAAGTCTCCATTGTTTATTGCTCTCTCCAAGCTTACAAGTTTATTTCTTTTCATCTTATTCTTGAGAGAGATTATTATTATATTGTGAGGAAATAGTTGTCAGTATCCCAAATTGTAAATCTACTCTTTGAGAGAGTTGTGGTGTGTTATTATCAAACTCAAATACTTGTATCGGTTTGATCCTGCGTCGTTGAAAGGATTGAGTTTGCTCTTGAACTCGTAAAAAGAGCGGTGTACCGGTTTGGCTCTGATCCGTGGAAAGAGTCGGAAAAGTTCTTTATTCAAATTCCCAAGAGGCGCTTGGGGAGTGGAGTAGGTCGAGTTTGACCGAACCACTATAAAACTACGGTGTCATTTTCTCTAACTCTTTCCTATTTAATTTCAAGATTATTATTATGTTTATTGCATGTTCTACTTGATTATTGTTTTGACTTGAATTATTTTGTTTTAGTAATTATCATCTTCTACTTATTTGTAAAAAGTTTTATCATTAGAAAAATTAATCAAGTTTAAACACTTTTATCGTTAAAACCCTATTCACCCCCCCTCTAGGGTTGCCATACCGATCCAACAAAAAGTGTAACAAATTTCTATTCAAGCTAGAAGGGCCTAACTAGGTTCAAATTGGTGACCTCTTGATCTACAGTCAAATGCTCTAACATTGAGCTATGGACCCATTTTGTATGATCTCAACCTTAGTGACCCCTTCTCCAGATTATCGATCCAAAAGTGACCCTACCGAATTGGCTATGGACCAAATTTGTATAAATTGGAGGATTACCTATCAGAAATTAAACACAGGTCAGTCAGATTCAAAGTCGAAAGTGCTAACCACTACACCATAGAATCACTTGTTAAACTTCATTTTGGCAGCGATTTTGATAAGCGCCAACAACGCTAGATTTTGCAAAGCTAGAGGTCGTAGTATTCTTGCAAACTTTCACGAAAACATTCCAAGAACCTCAATGGATGGGTTACAAACTCGCATTACCAATCTCGACAACTGGACATGTCACTGGCGTTAGAAGAACGACCGCATCAGAGCAAGTCATGGGGATAGAAGATCTCGTTGAAGAATGATAGACCAACCGTAATCTTCAGCCCAACGAGCCAAACTTTTGTAGAAGAAAGAACTCTTATATTAAAGAAATTAACACCTTCTTATACAAAATTTGGATCAACAAAAAGATAAGCTAGAATTAGATTATGAGATCGAAGAGTGAGAAGCAATATTTGGAACCTTTTTCTAAATTGAGTCACTCCAACTTGATCAAGGCTTTGATTTAATAACTCAAGATGCAATCTATCATAAGAATTGCATGAAACTTAAAAACTACAAAGATATGCTCAGATTTCTATAAGGGAAACGTCTCAACTTAAGAGATCAATTTCATTGATCACAAATATCCTTTTGCATAATAATTTATAGGTATTTATAGTCTCCCCACAAAAAAAGTTAGTGACCGTGATTTAATCTCGATCCCTTTAAATCTCCACAGAAGACAAAGTAAATTTGAGCATTACAGACTTTATGAAATTAAAATAATAAATAAAGTTTTCTAACCACTCATGAAATGATGCTTGCAACTTCATCCGCTACTTCAACCGTGCAAATATTTACTTTTGAATCTCCAAATGGTCTAGACTCAAATGAATCAGCTTGTAACACATGAAATGGTAGTTGAACCTAGCATATCCAATTTTGTAGATGAAATATGAATGCTTGTTGAATCTTCTTGGCCTTGGGTTGTGTAATAGGTCTAGTTGGAACACCGTGATTCTTATCATCATCCCCCTCTTCAAAAGGATTCGTCCTCGAATCAGAAAAATCATCACCTACATCAAAAG